TGTGCGTGTGCGTGTGCGTGTGCGTGTGCGTGTGCGTGTGCGTGTGCGTGTGCGTGTGCGTGTGCGTGTGCGTGTGCGTGTGCGTGTGCGTGTGCGTGTGCGTGTGCGTGTGCGTGTGCGTGTGCGTGTCGTGTGCGTGTGCGTGTGCGTGTGCGTGTGCGTGTGCGTGTGCGTGTGCGTGTGCGTGTGCGTGTGCGTGTGCGTGTGCGTGTGCGTGTGCGTGTGCGTGTGCGTGTGCGTGTGCGTGTGCGTGTGCGTGTGCGTGTGCGTGTGCGTGTGCGTGTGCGAGTGCGTGTGCGTGTGCGTGTGCGTGTGCGTGTGCGTGTGCGTGTGCGTGTGCGTGTGCGTGTGCGTGTGCGTGTGCGTGTGCGTGTGCGTGTGCGTGTGCGTGTGCGTGTGCGTGTGCGTGTGCGTGTGCGTGTGCGTGTGCGTGTGCGTGTGCGTGTGTGGCTGTCTATCTCTCTGTCTGTGTGCGTGTGAAACCCTTCCTCTGACAAAGCTGTAAATACAAACCCAAAGAGGCCCACCAGTTTGAGAAATTCCGCGGGCTCCTGCTGGTGGAATGGGGGAATGGTCAGGTCCTGGTCGTCCTGAGCACACGAGTAAGCCAAAGGTCAGAATGCATGGAACTGCATATGCAACCGGTCGGCCCTCATGTCTCGGAGTCCTCCCAAGCGAAGGTGGTGGTGACGTTGCTGCCATTGGCCAGGGCCTGGCATTTTCCTCTTGAACGGAGCTTGAACCCTTGCGATCGCTTCTTGCTTCATGTTTTTTGGTTTTTTGTGTTTTCCGTGTTTCTTGACCTGTTCCCAACATCTCGCACCGCCTGCACCTCCGCGGACAGGTTCATTACGGTGCTGGACACGTTGGCCGCGATGGCCTCGCTGGCAGAGGAGGCCGTGTCGTTGGCCACCGCCTCGGCGACCTCCTGCAGGCTCCGAGTTTTGGCTGAAGGGGTAGGATGTGATGCTCCCGGCAACGGGAACATGTTCCAGGGGGCTTTTGACTAGGTGATTCATCGAGGGGATGGGATGGAAGACCCATGGCATGCGCGTGCCCGGCCTTCGCGGCCGCAGATGCCGTTTCGTTGGCGACCTGAGGCAAAGCTTGGCTTCCCGTGAAAATGCTCCACCAGGACCGGAAACTGCAGCCACAAAGCCTTGTTGGTAAAGGTGGCATGAGCTTGCTGAGGTTTCTTCCCAACCTTACCCGCGCCTGCTCCGCGATTTTGCGGGTCTCATCTGCCACAAGTTTCTGTAGGTCGGGGGACATTCCATAAACCTGCGACTGAGAAGCCGTCACCAGTGTCTCGCGAATGTCTGGAACTCCAACGCTCTCCTCTGTCATCGTAGTTGTCCAAAAGTAGTTCCACATGTCGCTACTGCTTGTCGTGAGAGTGGTGCTTGTGCTGGTGGTAGAACTGGTTGGCGAGCCTCAATCGGAAGCTGGGATAAAAAGAAACCAAGTCTCTAGTCTCTAGTCTCTAAATGGCCCTACCAAATTGATCGCTGCCAGGAGGCCTACTATAAGCGGCACTGCAGAAGGGTCCTGCACCCCCTGCATGCGCAACTCCCTGGATGTCCTTGAGAATACGTTGCGCACGTGAGCTCCAAGGCAAAGATTTCAAACTGAACTGTTGGGACACTCACGGCTCTCTCTTAGCCACGAGGCACTTGAAGAAGTTGATGTCCCTGTTGCTCCTGCCGACAACCGACCCTTCGGACCGCCTCGGAAGGAAGCGCCACTTGCCAAGGCTTCATGAAATGTCCCGCGAACCCTCATCAGCACAAACTTGTTTAATGAAGTCTCATTTGCTGGAGGGCAAAAGATGACTGCTCCGCCGGAGCTAGCAGCTAGCGAATTTGACGTTTTTTTGGGAAAGAAACATGGAAAAACAAACCAGTGGCGCCAATCAACACAAACGTCAACCCCCAACCTCTGCAGCGGTACTGGCAGCAACCGCATGGCAGAGTCGACAGCCGGGAGTCTCCTCCGGCGCGTCGCTTGAACCGCAACTTGTCACACGTGAGACCGATGCACAAAGACAGCCTCTGCAACCGTGGGTACTACCAGACATATGGAGATCACTGCCAGTGCAGCCATGGATCGGACCTTGGGCCAGGCCCCCAAGCCTTTCAAGCCAGCCCCACGCAGATTGCAATGGACTTGGGCCCCCGCCGCCATCACCAGGGGGTGGGGTTTCCCCCCGGGATGCCAAGCTGAAACGCACAGGTCCAGATATGCGGTGCCCCGACCCTTCACGGCTGACGCACGCATGAAGAACAAGTCTTTTCCTGCACCGGACGCACAGCTCTCTGCTCCCAGGAATCGGGTGACAAAGGAAGCAGCGCATTCCATAAATGGCACTTGGAAGAACAGCGAAGGTTGCTGTATCTTTGAACACGAAGCCAAGAAAGCAAGTATGTCTTGACCATGGCCGAAAGGCCGACTTCCCCGGCATCAACACGACAAATGTGCGATTGAATTGAATTATCATTCACGGTTCCCTTTCTTCACCTCGGCTTCTCACGCATCTCTTATCCATGGCTTCTTTGGCCATCTCTGAGCAAGCTCCGCTTACCTTTTCTCAGCGTTCTTCACTCCCTAGCATTTGACTCACTGCAGATTTACAAGAGTCCAACCGGTTGCGATTGCTCCAGGACCCAGCAAAAGCACGCGGGCTGAGAAACGGAGCGCGGGCCGCAAGCTGTTAACATCGCCCTGCACTTGCCATCGCCTTGCAGGTTCTCAGCTGATCTCGGCATAGTTCAGCGCATTGTACAGGATTTTCCTGCAGCTTTGGCGCCTTTTTATAGGCCTAAGAGATGGCCTTCCCAGCCTCATCTGCTCCAGCGCACATTTGCTGTCTGCTTCATTCTCAGGGTAGGTGATATTTTGGTACATGATTGGCACCTGAAAGGGCACCCGCCAATCAAGAGCGCCTGCTGTGCACAGAGCCTCCGTCCAGTTCCGAGGGTCTTTCTGCGCAAGGAAGACAGGGGCCTGAGGTGAAAGGAAACCAAAGCTTCTTATAAAGAAAATAACAACCTTTGGAGGTCTGGATTCCTTTCCTAAGGCTGGTGCACAAAACTGTAGCGTCAGGTCATGTGCGTAGAACTGCTTCACTTCCTTGTCCTGGTTGCTCTCACTCCGTTTACACTTGATCACATTGCGCACTTGACGAGGGAAAGCTCCTCCCTCCAGTTGTAGATGCGAATAGTTGCATCCCCCCCTGCAATAAAGATCGTGCCGTCGTCGATCATGCAAGCATCACTTGCAATACCTGGAGTCCGCATTCAGACAGCGGAGCGACATGTTCATCTCTGGAGGCGCCGCGAGTGGGGATCTCCCTTTCCAACTCGCCGGTTTCAAAGTTCCAGACTTTCACAGTCTGGAGGAGGACATGCGTTGACAACATGGGATTGAAGCTTTGAACCCCAAGCCTTGTCACCGGAGCAGCTCACTAAATGCTGCTTCCCCGCGATGCCCAAGCCAACGATACCGTTCCTCACTGAAGGCCCGCAGCTCTGCTCTGCCCCCCCCCCCCACCCCCTGCCGAGGGTTGCACCCATGTGCTTTGAAGTTCCTCAGCACCTCGAGTCCAGCCGACAAGAAGTGCAGGCGCACTGAAACTGTTGTGCCTGTAGATCTGTGGGTGTTGTGGCATCCCAAATGGTGATAGTCCTGGCAGCTGCAACATGCCACCTGCATCACACCCTGCTGCGTGACCTGTCGTAGGAGCAGCTGGCAAACTGCTGGCCATCCTAACAAACGTGTCTGACAGCGCCAACCAAAGGCATCACGCATCCTCCGGGCCCGGCCTTTCCCAAATGGCACATGCGGATGACAGTGGCAAACCTTGGCATTCGACTGCATTGACAGAGGTAACCTTTCAACTCGAGGGCTTCTCACCGTTCCGCAAGCTTCCAGCCCAAGCCAGGCTCGCCGATATCCTCGAAGCTTCCCAGCCCACCCTTTGCGCACCCATTATGGTACCACTGCCATACCACCAAAAACAGGGAAAGTGGGGTCATAGTGAATGGCCATGTGGCTTGATCGCCACTCACAACTCTCAGATTTCTCATGCAGGTGTTGATCCCTATCGTCCTCGCCATAGCCCTTGTGGCCGATCTGGGTACACAAGCACTTACCCTGGTCCTCGGCATCAAAAAGGTCAACAAACTTCACAGTTCGATCTGTACAAAACTCGTCCGAGCTGCGATGTCCCAGAGCCGCACTGTGCAGTCGTCCGAGCCCGAAGCTATGATGTTATTCCTGCAAGCCGTGCATCGAAATTCACACAATTTGGGGTGCACCTTTCCGGCAAGAAAAATGACTCACACTAGCTGGCATAGGATGCTCGCGGATACTCAATTCAATTCGTAACTCCTCAAGTGCAGCATGCACCAAATGATGCCACATCCTTCCTTCTGGAAGAAGTTCCTGGACGGGTGTCCATCACAGCATGTCTTTTGACGCACGGAAGCCTGTCAGGCCCGAAGTCCCGGTGGTCCGTCATCCTGACGATGGCCAGCCATGGATTCCATGGATCCCATGGATCCCATGGATCCACGAACCCTCCTGAAGAGGGTGCACCCCGTCACGAGGCTGAAGATCCTGGCGGTGTGAGCGTCTCCCAGGCTTTGCTGAAACTGCGCGGGCCTGACCGTCTTATCCAAACCGCCAACACCAGCACGTTGCCCAGGCAAAGCACAAACGGCTTTCATCGGATACATGTTGATCCAATACCTTGCAAGAAATCTGGCTGCCGCCCGAGTTGAAATAAACATTCTAAAAGCCAGTGATCACTGCCTGCCAGGAAGTACAGGCGGACACTTGTGACATTCTACAGTCATTAACAAAACCCAATGGCCAAAATCACCTTCAAAAGGGCTACAAGGGATGTACGAGCAATCTCTCTGAGCTCTGTCCACTTCCTGTTGGGCACGTGAAAAGCAGCTCCCCCTCGGTGCCCGCCTCCTGTCAAGCGAGAAGGCCATGGGCAAACGGCGCAAAATGCCCCCTTGAGAGCTCATTGAATTTACACAGAGATGCACGCGTGAACATGGTGTTTAAGTGGCGAAAAAGGACTCCCGTCTCTGAGGTGAGAATTATGTCTGAGTCCACCAGCTTCTCAACCCACACACGACTAAGCAGAGATAAGCATGGCTGCCACACTCCAATCTGCCAAAGCCGGCAGGTGTAGTCGTCGCTGCAGCTGAGGATCTTGTCCTCGTTGCAGGCCAGCTTGCAAACCGCTTGACCCTGGGAGTCTCTAGTTCATTCTCTCATCAACCATAAATCGACAGTCCAGGATTGCACAAAAGTGGACACTCGAAAGCATGGAGCGAAAACTCTCCGTCTCCCAGCAACCACAAGGATCGCGAGAACGGCAACACACTTCAACATGTCCACGACCTTGTCAAATACTCAGCTGCTAAGTGTCGCGTGTGCATGCGCGTGGGCGGGTGGGGTTGGTGTGTGTCTGTCTCTGCGTCTGCGTCTGTGTCTGTATCTGTGTGTCTGCGGGATGGCTATGTGCCGGTTGAGTCATCTCCAGGTGACCGCAAAAGCTGAAGATGTCTTTGCAGCCAGTTCAGTTCTGCTTTGGAAGAGCGCAACCAGGTGGCGTTAGAATGTGACGTTGACATGGCGCTGGCCACAAATGATGTGTCATGTGCGAGAAGCCACGAAACCAACTCAACACAGCGGGAAGAATGGGCCGAGCTATGCTTTCCTTGGGGATGATGTCAAAGCTGTTTGCAACAAATTATGCTTTTGCAATAAGCCCCATAGATCGAAACCTTGGGCGTGCAAATTCCAGGAAGCTGATAAGAATGCACGCTTCATGCCGACTAACAAATCTCACTCAACACAAGAACGCCCGCTGGAAATCTAGGACAACAAAACGATTACGTTCGGTCCCCGCGGTACGGCAGCACTTGGTTCACAAAGTTCAGGTGCCCCGTGAACTCCTAGGGCACGTAAGTGTGATGCTGGAACATGAAGTGCAAGAGCAGAGCGCGCCTGGTGCATCTTGAAGCCTTTCTTCACATCCCAGGTCCGGATGAGGTAGTCCATGCTGGACGTGATGACAACCTTTCCAACATGAAACAGGATCCTGGAGGTAAGATTAGCTAGATCCTCAAGAACAACTCAGGCGGATGCAACGGACTTTTGCCATGGCGTTTACTTGTGAGACTCTTAGCTCGCAATGCCCTTAAGAATTTGCCAAGTCTGGGGTGCATTGCATCATTGCATCGCACGCAAAGAGACCCCGACTCTGAGCAGCTGTCGCTTCTGCTAGCGAGACCTGCCCTGGCTTTCAGAATACTGAACTGCAGACTAGACCCACAAGGCAAGGAACGACCTCGGCTGCGCCAAATGGAGGGATCCATAGGTTACCCCCAAAAGGACTTGAGACTTGAGCTGAGCCAAGGTTCTTTGCAATGGAACCGTGGCTCGAAGTCCTTTTGGGTAAGCAAAAAGTGGCCCCATGCGTGCGGTGCGCCGAGCCGCATGGCCAGGAAGCCCAGGATTGAGGCCATAATGACCATCCTCTCAAAGCCACAAAACGTCACGGGGGTCCACTCGAACGGGCAAACAGGGGGTGGATGTGGATCTCAATTGGAGATGGATGATGAAAATGCGTGGATTCACACGGTGTATCAGTTTTCCTCTGGTTTCACCTCTGGTTTCCTACGAGTTATGCAACTTGCGCTCCAGGTCTTGCAACTTCCCGACAAACCCGGGACCGTGCGTCTCTCCTGGAGTGATCGGAGGCCTCCACCGCCGGCAGCAGCAGCTCCGGCACGGAGATATAGAGAAACCTCCCCGGAAAGTTTCGGCTTCGGCGTCGGCGCAAACTTCCCGAAACGGTCTCACTTCGGACTTGTGAAAGGCTCTTGCAGGACGGCTTCACTTGAAAGTGGCAAGGTTGGCCATGTGCCAAGGCGCGTTCCAGTTGCCAAAGAGAGGAGGCAACCCACACCTTAGTCGACGTGGCAGTGACGGCATGCCAAACCTGCACATCCGCACCTGCCCCTTGAGCGTTGCTCAGGAAGAAGGAGCCCAGCACAATTCCTACGGAAATTGTTTCACCAGTTTTTCTCCAAGCCCTTCCAAAAGCAGAGGACCCAATTCTACAAGCAAATGAATGCCAAAAGCCAGCTCTTGCAAGTCCTACGGGAGTGCAGGATCCGAAGAGGAGCACACTTTGCCAGAGCTCCTTCCTGAGGATGCAGGATTCCGACACGGCCAACCTCTGCCACTTGCACCTGTCTGCGCACTGCACCAGTCTGGCGCCCATGGCAAAGGCTGCAAGGCCTGACGAGCTGACCCAGCCAAACACAAGCTGCCAAATCAAAGCCTCGCCTTTGTGGGCAGCGACAGCTATGAAGATGCTGAGGAAGGTGGAGGTATGATTCTTGGTGCACAAGTTCCCAAATCTGTCACACCTCCCCAATCGAACGAATTCCAGCCAAGGCACCAGGACTCCAATGCTGATGCCCTGACGCATTTCCCAAGCATGGTTCCATGCCAAATGTAGCTCGGCAGCCACGCTGAACTTGGCATGCAAAGGCTAAACAAAACAAGCAAAAAGCGGCATCAACACTGAAACACGATAGTAACTCCAACGGCTCACAGCAGTTTTATGACAGACAACATTAACTTACGCAGGAACTGCTCAAACGGCAGTTCCATTCTATTCGGTCAAGTAAGCCCGTCCTCCAGTAGGGAGTGGACCGCCAGTGCACACACCAGCACGCGGGCTGAGATGCAGTCAGGCGCCACGTCTGTCACGGAGGCAACCTAACACGTACGTCGGTGGCTTCGACAAAGATATATGGCGGTGTCATTGTTTAGAGGATCCTCAAAAAAAGCGTGCTTTTGGGTCTCGATTTCAAGCCACAAAAATGGCACCTCTGAAAAAAAGAAGACGGATCCATTTGGACGACTGCCAAAAATAAGCGGCAGTCGACTGTTGGCTTGGGGAGGACATGGGGAGCCAGCTTCCCACAAAAGCCAAATCCAACCCAATTTTGTACATGTTTTCGTCCGTAAAAGCAGAGGCATGTGGCTCAAGTTAGAGAGCTGGGCAAACCGGAGGTAGTCTTTGTCTCATACCAAGGGCCCATTTTCGGAATTTCAGATTTTTGAGCAAAAAACAGCGCAACTGCAGATGGATCCTTTTCAAACAGCCTGGGCATGTAGACTAGTTGTTGGCCTTCTTGTGTGTTACGTTAGACGTCAGAATTGATTTTGGTCCTAGGATTTGTTCAGTGAATGTGTTCGAGCAGACCTCGCAATAAGCTTGAACCAATCCCGTGACGAAAAGCTGGTTGGAACTCGGAAACATGCCGGAGCCTTTGTCAGCACAGAAGAAATGCAGCATCTGAGAAAACTACACCAGCATAAAGTCAAAGCAGTAGAACTGCTCTGAGCTGCAACTCCAATGTCTGGCAACCAACGTACACTAACGCCCACGCTACCCGCCACCCAGCATGCAAATAGATCAAATCAACAACGGCTGGTACCTCAACAGTGCATCAAACCTAGCACTCTTTTGTCGCCATTTCTATCAGCGGCATCGAAAATAGCACCCAGTCGAGAAGAACCTGCCCTGCTTGCACGCCGAAAAGAATCCACCTTGCTTTCTCGAGTAAAGAAAGACTTGCGCTGTACCCTACTTGTCTTCATGGAACTACCTGGACGCGTGTGATCAGGTAGTTCCGAAAATAGGATGAGTCATGTCACAGCGGCAGCTGCAATAAGGAAAGAGAGAGTTGACAAAGTTGCAGAAGCAAAGCGTACCATCGCTTCTCAGCTTACTACGCATCATTATTAAGAACTGTCACCACCAGAGTTTATCGAGTCGCCCAAACAAAATTAAGGCACGATTAGAATGGTTGGAGTGCCCACACAACTTGGCCCCCCTGCCAGCTTCTCAGTATTTGCTCGCTCGTGCATGCGAGTGAATTCCTTGTGCGCGGTGCCTGCGCTTGGCAAGCCCGTGTGTACTTCCGAGTGCTGTATGAGACTGCAACTGTAGTGCGCCATGAACAGTATGGTTACATCCCAACGCACAGCCTGATCACACTATCACAAGCACGCTTGCTGCCAGAAGCTGCTCCCCCCGCGCCTGATCTCAGCAGGGACTTTGTCCGAGCAACCTTCGAGACAAGCTGAGACGCCATGCCCAGGCACAGCCGACCAAAAACGATGAGCTCTGACTCTCTGACTCTGACCCGAGCCTTCAGCGCCCTCGCGCTGGTGGGGCTGTCCACTCCGTGGCTATGCAAGCATTGGCCCTCTAAGCAAGGGCTGTCCAGGCAATTCACGCTGCAGTGCGCTTGTACCTCAGAGCTGTCGAGCTCGGATCGGAAGCCGAGAAATGCTACACCCACCTCCTCCTCGGCCCTGCGCTGCACCTGCGCCTTCGTGCAATCCGCTCAGTGCCGTGCTTTGAGCCATCGAAAGCCTCCATGATCATCAAACCAAGGAAGGCCAAGCCCGCCAAAACGGACGAGAGTGGGAAGGCCTCCTCCTGAGATCGCGAACGAATATTCCGCCAGTGGCAAGCCGGCAATGGCAAGATCTCGCAACTTACTCGCCTACATGAAAACTCGGATGCCGTGCAGGTGTGCAGCAAAGTGTTGACACTCTCACACATGAGTTGGCCGGGCGTCTGTCTCCGGATTGAAAACTTTGTGAAAATCCACGGATACAGCTCCGAGGGCCTGCCACAATCTGCTCGAAAGGCATGCGAACGCGGGTGCTGACAGGGGGCACAGGGACCTAAGAACTCGAAATGGCTTGGCGGCCTTCTGCGCATCGGGCAGCATGTGAACCAGCGCTGCAGACAAAAGTACCCCACCCGCCATGGCATTGCAAGTTCTGAGGCTCTCCTCAGCAAAATGTCCGAGGGTCCTGTTGCAATTGTCATTGCAAGTGTCCTCATCGCTGTCGCTGCGGTGCAGGTACAAAGGCAATAGTCCTGGGCGGTTGCTTCCGCTTACCCCGTATCGCGGGCAATAGTCCTGGGCCCCAAATCCCAAATCTCCATGCTCCAAAAGGACCAGTGAAAACTCCCATCCGATGCCCATGTCCCACCTCCTGCGACGGCGATGCTGAAGAGCACCACGGCAGCCAGCACTTTCAAGAGCTCCAAGCCATGCACCAGCATCAAGCGCGAGCGCAAGTGGCGCAACTTGGGCGCAAGCGGCACTGCACCCGTTCGGTACCAAGCTGGATTCTCTTGGCCTCTCTCTGGAATCTTGCCAAAGCTTTGAACTTGGGTTGGGCTCATATTGCTTGTGTTCTGCCTGTGTGCTTTGGAGTGGCGATCTGGTGATCTGATTCTGCAACAGGCTACGTGGATCGATTGGATGGCTTATCGGGCACGGCTTGCAGCTCAGGATAAGAACCCCAGCTGCTTCCATTTCAATTGACTTGGCTTCAAGACTGCGGGGACCGCTTCCAAAAGCAAACGGACTCTCAAGGCGGCTCCCTCAGCTCTTTCTGGGCACCGCACATCAGGCTTGGCGACACAGTGCTCTTCCAAGCCTGGATGGGTCCTGAGAGAACGTTCGGGAACTTATTTTTGGAGCTTCCCGGGCATGGCGAACGAATCGCGTAAAGATTCGGGGCGACCGGGCCGCAGGCTCCGGGGAGTTGGGGTTCTCTGTCTGGTAGCGCGCCTCGGCTGAACCGAACCGCTTGGACTCCACAAATCTAACGAGACAAGCAGCCGCTTGCTGCAAAGGCGTGTCTGGCACCTCACCGCCGTGCAATGACATGAGGTAGTAGAACCAGCAACAAAAAAGTCCAATAGGAGAGTTTTGGGGCGCTGCTCATGTTTACGAGCAAATCGAAGGCAGCTTCTGAGTCCAAGCAAAACACCCTGCCTCCCCACCACCTCCGCACCTGAACATGTGCAAAAAGTGGGTTGAAAAAAGCATGTGCCTCCCCCTGCGCCTGATGAGTTCATGCCACTCCTGACACCGCAGCGTTACTGTGTCAGTGGCTATAATTCAACTGCCCTTTGCCACTGGAATGCGCCTGGCCTCGTCCCTCTCCGGAGGCAGCGGTTTGAAGCGAGGATTCATTAGGTCCTCTTCCTCGGCAAAAGAGTGCGAAAACGACAACAAATAAAGCCAATTAGTAGACGAACTCGAAACACGGAAACACGTGCGCGCGCACACGCCACACGCACAAACACACACACACACACAAAAAAAAAAGCGGGGCTCCTGTTTCTTGCTTGTGTGTGTGTGTTTGTTTGTTTGAGTGGCTCCCTCTCTGTCTGCCTGCTTGCCTGCCTGTCTGAATGGTGGTTTGTTTGCTTCTTTGTTTGCTTGTTTGATGTTTGTGTGCTTGCTTTCTTGCTTGGTTGTTGATCGGGTTGGGTTGCGTTGTATTGGGTTGGGTTGGGTTGGGTTGGGTTGGATTGAACGGGCTGGGCTGGGCTGGGCTGGGCTGCGCTGCGCTGGGCTGGGCTGCTTGCTTGCTTGCTTGGTTGGTTGGTTGGTTGGTTGGTTGGTTGGTTGATTGGTTGGTTTGCTGTGCTTGTGTTTCTGTTTGTATTCATATTTGTGTTTGCACGGTGCTGGTGTTTGTGTGTGTGTTTTGCTTGATTGTGTGTGTGTGTGTTGCATTATATGCGCTTGCCTTTGTGTCTCTATTTGTGTTTGTGTTTGTATGTGTGTTGTTTGTGCTTGTGTGTGTGTTGCTGTTTGCGTTGTTCGACTTTTGTTTGTTTGTGTGCTTGCCTGCTTGCTTGTGTTTGTTGGTTGGTTTGTTTGTTTGTTTCCTGCTGGTTTGCTTCTCCCCCCGCGGCCCGCGCGCACGATCTTCACCCTTCCAGCCTGCCTCGCGCTCTCTGAGGAGCGGGCTAGGTGCACACGGACCAGGCCATTCACCGGCTCCGGGCCGCCGCAAAAACTCGCCGACTCCGCCATGCCCGAGACCTGCTGGGCCCATGTGAGGCCCAGGGAACGAAGACTCGTGCCATGCGCATGGGACCCAAAGGAGCGAGGCTGGAAGGATAGGGAGTGGAAGGGACTCTAGTCTTGGTTGAATTGCGTGCTCGGAAGAGCTCTTTGCACGTGCTACCCCTCACAGGCTAGTAGAGATCAGTCAAATAGGACATCTGGAAGACATGCCCTGGACAGTTCGAGACAACCGGGTGTGCAGAAGTTGAAACCGGGCACCCGTCTTTGGCCCATGTACTGCAAGATAAACATATTGAAGTGTCACAAATTGACCCTCCCTTTCAGAAAAATATATGGAACCGCACAAACCAAGCAGAGGAATTTACTCTTGGGTGAGCCCTTTTTGGGCAACCCATAACAATTTGCGGGGTGCATCTTGGGGACTGAGGACTAAAATCGCATCCAAGTTAAGGGCTTCAGGCGCTGCAAGAAATTCAAGTTGTTTAAAGCTGTACATCTCCCGTTGGCTTCTCTTCAAACCAGAGTCTGAAACTCGAATAGGCAAAAGAGGCCGATTTCCCTTTGGTTGGTGTGGCAGGGGAAACGGACCCCTGTCTTGGATCCCTCTTTTGCAAATGGAAACATGTATCCTGTGCCAACCGTTCCTGTACACTTCCTGTAACCCGATTTCGGTCAAATCTCCCCCCTTGCCGTTTGGCCTGAGCCAACCACCGTTTTTGAATGACTTCAAAGGACAACCACAAGGAGCCCAAGTATAGAAACAGCCAATCGGGAAGCCATGTGGAATTCCTCACTCACAAAGCCTAGGTCAAAGTCATTGTTCAAGTCTCTGTGACAGACTTCACGGCACTTCCAGACTAGCGCTGCTGGGAAATCGCTGTCAGGTGTTGTTCGTTGTAGAAAGTTGGTGCATGTTTAGCCTTGTCTAAACCACGCGACTGTCTTCTGAGATCTCACGAACCTATTGCTGCTTATTGTTCTTGTTCATACTTGCTGATGCGTGGCTCAGCCTGGCGGTTCCATTGCAACCTCTTCTCTTACGGTATGATCTAGAAATTGTTTAGAGAGAATCTTGTGGACTGTCAAAATTTGGGTCCCCTGCTTGTTCCGCTGCCTCTCTCGGTCAGATCTTTCTAAGGAAGGAAGGAAGGAAGGAAGGAAGGAAGGAAGGAAGGAAGGAAGGAAGGAAGGAAGGAAGGAAGGAAGGAACGAAGGAACGAAGGAACGAAGGAACGAAGGAACGAAGGAACGAAGGAACGAAGGAAGGACAGAAGTCTTGACATGAGAGCAACCTTGGCATAGCATTCATGGCTCGCCGGGCACAAAAGGCCAGGGAAGGATAAGCTCCTCCTTGGTTTATTCCCTTCAACCAGGTCTGCCACCCAAGTTGCAGTCCTCCAGCACCCGGCCAGTTGCACAGGCGCATCTCCAGATCCCGACGGCTGCACTGCACCATGCACCATGCAAAGCTGGAAGCTCGAGTAAAAAGCGAACACGCGCGTGTTTTGGCCGCGCACGAGTCTTTGCATGCGCGTCCCATGTCTCCGGGGTCCATCCCGGGACCATCCCGGGACCATCCCGGGACCATCCCTCAGCGCCGCCATTCCTCCGGAACGAGACGTTGAACTGCCAGCAGCCGCCTGGCTCGAGAAGGCATCACCACAAGAGACAGTGGCGCCAGGCCTCAGCTCCAGCAGGCACCGCTCCTGAAATGGCCATGTGCGCAGAACCGCCCTCTCAGCGCTCAGCCCAGCGCCTCCATTTTGGGCGCATCGCCTGGGCTAAGCGGCTACCCCCACCCCAACCCTTGAGCTCTCAACCACCCTGGCCTCCAGACCCCAGCAGCGAGCCAATCAGCATGAAGGTGCGTGCCTGAGCGCGCAGGGCCCATCTCAAAAACAAGGATCCCCGACCATGGCAGTTGGAAGTCGGCACGAGCAAAAAGGGCGCCTGCTCCAGAAGCCGCTCCCTCTTGCGATGCAGCTCCTTACGCTCCACTCGCGGCTTGCGGTCTTGAGCAAGTTGCATCAGACGGTTGGAAAAGCAAAAAAAAAACGCCAAGTCGAAGATCGGCCCCACCTGCTGCATGTCCTTCCAACCCGGCACTTTTTCGGACGAGGGCCGGCCGATTAGGTGCTGGACCTTGGTGGCACGCCGATCCGATTTGGAAAACCTTTAGGGGGCGCTCTGGGCAGGGCTGCCAGCAAGACTTTCCATTGCTCGCTGGCCTGCGAAAGGCACGACTCACTCGACTCGAGAACTCGTTGCCCGCCTTGGCAGCTGCAGCGGCTTCCCGCGACTTGACCAGCACCTCCGTCCCCTGCCTCGAAGCGAAGCGCTTGGATCGATGCAAAAGTCTCGGCCTCTCGGCCCGCCTGCCATTGCCCTGGCCTGAGCCGTCGCAGAAGAAAAAGCAATGCAGATGCAACCGCGCCTTTTCGGTCCAGCGCAGTTGAGGCCACTCGCAGAAGTGCCTCAGGCTTTTTGTCCAACGTCTGCCCAAACCCATTCTTTCAGAGCGCATCTAGCTCAGCTTCACACCTCCTCCTCTTCACGACCAGCCTCCAACCAGTTCTCCTCCAGCAGTCGCCTGGCTTCTTTGCTGCAAGCGCCCATGAAACTGACAACTGTAAAATCAGCATCGACTGGCCAAAACCAACATCTGCTCAGTTTGATTTGATTCAAAATCAAGACGTGGCCAGGCGACAAAACCTTGGCCAAGCAGCAGGCAACATTTGGCACATCAAAGGAATGGATCCCTGAAACTGCCAGGATAGCACGGAGTGCACACGACAAACAAGCTATTAGACTCTACTGAATAGAAGCAAATTGCATGAAACGTCGCGTGCCGACGCCCGGTCAGCCCTGTCAGGCCAGTGGCCATAGAGAAGGGTGCGGTCGCCGCCAAGCATCGCCAGCGCATCTGACAGGTGTCGCAAACCATACGAATTGCCGGACCATGGCAGTTTAAGGTCCAAGCATGGCTTAAGGCTGACCATTCCTGCGGCGTCCAGCGCCGAGCGCCTCAAAATCTCTGGTTCGCAAACTGGCAGGCCAGAGCTTCAAATTCGTCACTCGGGGCACCGCCAGCTCACAAGCAAGCGTGAGCGGTATAGCTAGATTTTTCAGCTAACCCCACTGCCGCGCCTCCGGGATGCGGCAAGTCCTGCGTGTGGACAGTGTGCTGCGGGTGCGTTTGCTGTGGGGAAACCCCGGTCCACAGCTGCAAAGGTGGCCCAGAAGCGGCGCACGGCGCCGGCGCCCACAGCCTGCATCGACGCATACAGACTTTTGGCTCCTGCACGAATCTCCATCCCCAAATGTTTGAGCTTGGCTTATTATTGTGACACTCAACAAGCAATAGTGTGCGAAATGTTAACACCTTTTTCTCCGCTGGCAGATCACGCTTGGCCTTGCGCATGATCCAAATCAGGTTTGTCGCGCCAGCCTGCGCTCGAGCAATGCGCAGGTCGAGGGGATTGTCAGCCCCGTGTTCGCTGTTGTGCTCTGCCGCAAAGCGGTCAACATCCTCAGCCGGTGATCTACAAGCTCTGTTCTAGTGACATCCTCCACAAAAAACAGGGAAAGGAAAGCCACCCCTCAAAACCCTTCGAAACCTCTTGGAGTGTTCACTTTGCGGGAACCAGATCTATGTCTTGCTTTGCGCGATACGCACAGTCCTTCTTCACAGCCGGCCAGCCATAGTCATCTCCGAAAAGGATCCCTCCTGGCTGCAACAGCTCGAAGTACATCGAAAGCTCCTGAGCATGAGCTGCAGTTGCGTCAGCATGCCGCTGAAAGAACTATTTCTCTTCATCATTATTCTCATCATCTGACTATCTGAGCCTGTTCGACACAAGCGACACGCGCGCTCCAGGAAGGTCTCATCAGCCTCGTGGGCCGAATCCAGGAAGATCAGATCAGGGCTGAGGCCCTTGGCCGCCAGCCAGCGGGCTCCCACTGTGGAGGTGGCCTCATGGAACTCGACGAACTCGGAAAAACTTCGATGCAACTTGCCAAAACCCCGCCTGGAACGGCAGAATGTGGTGCGGAGACACCTTGATTCAAAAAGAGAGAGAGAGAGAGAGAGAAAGAGAACAACAAAATAATGAAAACTCAGACAGAGATGCGGAATATATTGAGAAAGAGTCAAAATATCATAGAGTGTTTTGCTGCTCTCTTTGTGCCACAGCACGCTTCGGTTCACGGCAAATTGCACATTTGCCATGAACTGGTCGAAGATTGTCATTCGGCCGTCAATGATGTTCACCCAGCCGCCAACGCTCTTGTCTTGCTGATAGCTGGCCCACATGTTGGTATCCCCCGTGAAGGGATCGATGCACAGGATGGGAATCTTAGCTGAGCACACAAAGACATGAAAACGCGATTCTGGCAAAGATCCTGGTCAATCAACCACGAGAAGCGTTTGCTGAACTGCAGACAGCTCTCTCTGGTCATGCCAAGCTTGTCCAGAACAGTGGCCATTTGAATAGCGCTGTGCCCGTGCAATGAGCCCACCTCGACAATGAAGCGCGGCATTCCTTCCAGTTGCAGGATGTCCAAAATATCCGTGAAGAACTGCGGCAAGAGGTTGGAGTGCGGGTAGTTCTTGAAGTTTGGCCTGATGCCATACCTGCCAAGCCATCAAGCCAGCGCAATCAACCCCAACAGTCCCATGGCGAGGTGCGGGTTGGAGAAATTCTTCACCACGTGAGACTCCGCGGCATCCAGACCAAAGAGCTCATGGTGAAGCTCCTGACAAACGATGCATGCCCTCAGCTTCATCCCTTGCTCCAAACCGCGCCTCGAAGCTCGGCTGCCAAGCAGATGCTACAGCCAGCAGGGCAAGACGCATGCCCCTCCGAGTTAAGGTGTTTCCTTGTCGTGGCTCTTGTCCTACCTGTTACCCTCATTGATCGCATGTAAACCCAGGTGCCTTGGCTGGGGCAAATGTGCTTTGTCTGAATCTCAAACGGCCAAGGCCCACAGATCTTCAGCTTGAGAGCCATCAGCAACCCGTCTGCTTCACATGGCAAGCTGTCTACCCTCCCAAAGCCAACAGAACCCATGGCCAAACGGAGAATCGGATGCAAGGTTTGACACGGGGCGAGCCTCGATCAAGTCGGTCCGGCCTGTCAACCCAGCCATAGGTTCACTGGGAGCGGAGCCGATTTCCCTTTGCACACAAAAACCTGGTTGTGGTGAGCCCCCCCAAAAAAAAAGAGAATCGTTTGGGAAAAGGTCAGCTCAACATGCAGCATAGCTTTGCTGAATGCAGGACTGTCGTACAGCGCATGCTTTCCTGGATTGCATTGCTCACCTAATGGGCGCGTGCCGAGTACATGTTTCACTCGTACATCGACGTTCCCACCTTCCTCCAACTACACCTCGTACAAGGCAGTCCTTTGTTTGCTTAGTTGCTTCGCGAGTTGCTTTGCCTGCACCCGACACTCATTCAAAAATGTGCGAATCGCATTGCCCCTGACCCCATCGGTCAGACAAAAGCTTCCTGCCTGCGTATTTTCTGCCTGGTCTACAATGTCAACTCGAATGCCAACCTTTCTCTCGGTGCGCCCGCATCGAATCAACCAGTTTCGTAAGGGCAAGCAAGACCTTTGCCATGGAACCTCATGGGACCGGCGCAAAACAAACTGGCCAAAAGAAACCCAAATTGCCAAAGGGCTGCTTTGCTCGCTCCCAAAGAAGAAAATTCCGGGAGCCTCGTTGGCGTTCCCCCCGAAGCCTCCGCATCCGAAGAGTTCCGGCAACCGCTCCAAGCGGCCCCCCGGCAACGCCAGCGGGGCCTCGGCATGGGCTCGGGCTGCGACGCTTGGGAAATGTCACGAGAGCATTTGTCGCGTATTTTCGCGGCAAGTAAGCTCAAGGCATTGGCACTGACTGGTGAATCCTGATGGGCAAAAACACCCACTGCGCAAATCTCAGAGCTGGCAGGGGCAACCCGCAAAAGCGGGCGCTTGTAGTTTACAGCCCCATCAAACACACCGAAAAAGCGAAGGGCCAAACTCAGTATGAGGTCTTGAACGCGCCTCGGCCATAGCCTACAGTACATCTCACGACTCTAATGAAGGGCCTCTCACTTGATTCACCGGCCTTCGAACCCACCAGCTTCGAAACGCCAGCCCAGCAAAGGGTAGCACTGCTCCTGCCAAATGAGAAGTGCCGAGCCTTTTTGCTTGCAACAGAGCTGTTTGCAATCCAGTCCGGCTGGTGACCGCCAGATCTTTCTGAGACATGGCACTGCCAGCGGTTTTCTACATGCTTTGTAGTTGCAGCTGACAATAGAAAACCTAAAAACAGGCTGCACACACTCACCCACAAATTTGGTTGTTCTTCGCGCGCACATGTCAGCGACTCCATTCTAGCGAGCCATCAACCAACATGGGGAAGCACTAGTTAGCTTCACATGCTCATGTTCTTGGCTTGGCACTTGGACATCAGGCTCAAAGCGTGCATGCAGCCGCCATGCATGTCCACAAAGTTCAATCGCCTGCGCAGTAGCAGGAACACCACAAAACAAACATGCTAACCAACAATAAAGTTGCAAAGCTGCGAAGCTGGAATGCATGGTTGGCGCCAATGTGGATAGTGCAATTTGCGGTGAACATGTCGAGCCACATTGGTTGCTAAAGGGAAAAAGCCCGACTTGTCCGGACATGAACATGGACTGCCGGAATTTGGCCAAGCACCCCACGCCAAAGCCGAAAAATGCCGAAAAACAACCCAACACCACGCACTGGGACTGTTGGATTGGCAGGCGACGACATACTAATTCACGCAACACTCAGCCACAGAGTGCGGCGCACAGCTGCACGAGGCCCTGAACATGAGAGACGTTTGAAGCAACCCGACGTTGAACGCACGGCAGTGCAAGAAACGCAAGGCACGGCGGAACACGGGAGGTTCTTCGAAACTTGCATGGTTAAGGCATGTTGCACTGCTCCTATCTTGAACCCAAACCAGACCACCCAAAAGAACAAAGCAAGTCCGAAGCGGCCGCAGTTCTTTTAACCGGGATTGCTGAAAGTAGCACTGCTTCCAGGGCACGGATGCGCCTGGAGCAGGAGGTGCGTTGACCCCCCGTGAAACTTAAAGGCAAGACAACGCGTGTCCTTGCAGGTGCGTGCAGTGCGCGCAAGGCGTGGCAAGCGTGCCCACCTCCTGGGAATAAGAATTTCCATGAGACGGATCTTTCCACCTCCAGCCCAGTGACCGCCTCTCCGAGATGGATCTTTCCACCTCCAGCCCAGTGACCGCTCCTGGGAATAAGAATTTCTATGATCTTTCCACCTCCAGCCCAGTGACCGCCTCTCCTGAAAATAGGTCCAGCCCAGTGACCGCCTCTCCTGGCAATAAGAATTTCCATGAGACGGATCTTTCCATGTCCAGCCCAGCGACCGCCTCTCCTGGGAATAAGAATTTCCATGAGACGGATCTTTCCACCTCCAGCCCGGTGAGCGCCTCTCCTGAGAATAAAAAAATCTATCCTGGTCCGAGACGGATCATCGCCGCCCGGTGAGCCCCTCTCCTTAAAAGACCTTTATTCCCAGGTCCGAGACGGTTCTTTCCACCTCCAGCCCGGTGAGCGCCTCTCCTGAGAAAAAAAATATATCCAGGCCCAAGACGGATCATCTCCAAGACGGATCTTATAAGAAAATGATCCTCGGTTTAGTCCGGGATGCTCAGCCGATCCGCAAGCTCTGCCGTGGCCGCACTCGCAATCTCCTTGCGCAGCGCCGTAGGAATGCTGTAAAGCAGCTCGCGCGACTGCCCTCTGACCCTCTCACGCTGGCCCCCCATGAGTCGAGGCCTCTCTTGGGCGCCCCTCAGACGCCTCCCATCTTCCCACACCTCGCACCGGCAGCCGCTCCTGCACAGCCCTCGACTCGGCCTCCAGCGCATGTTGGTCCACAGCCTGGTCTGCTTCCTGTACGGAGTCCCGTACTTGCAGTAGGTAACGTCCATCCAGGGCAGGCGCTCCATGAACGGTCGGGTCTTCAGCAGCCCGGATTCTCGATGACCCACATGAGCGGGTCAAAGTGCGCCATGATCTCAAGGGCTCTGTGCACCATCGCGTCGCCCTCCTCAAGTCGTCGAGGGCGCATCGTCAGAGCTCGGCAGTACTCCGTGCAGAAGTGCCCCGGCGGAAACAGCTCGTAGTCCCAGCTCCGGATGTCGCACAGGATCGTGGGCTCAAATTTCGACACGATGTCCAGGGAGACGACTTCCCAGCCCGCCGCCTCGAAGGCTCGGCCAATCGACTTTGTGCCGCAAAACAGCTCCAGCAGTCTCGGCATGTTTAATAATCACCACCAGCACGACTAAGCACGCACAGGCGACGGCGCGGCTCAAGCAGTTATGCTAAGGGTGGCAAGTTCTTGAGCCTGGAGCCGCTGTTTTGGCAGAGCGAAGCTTCGCTGGAAATCCATGGGAGCCCAGGGCTTTTTCCGAGGGCCAGCGCCCCAGCGTGAGCTTCGCAACCGACGGCCGCACGAGGCTCTTCTGGGAGCGGGCCGAGACCGATCTGATAGAGCAGCTGGCGGCCGCGTCCGCGTCTTCGACGCGAAGCTCATTTTCGAGGCAGTGCGCCAGCGGCTGCTGCCCTCCGTGAGGCAGTCGCGCGGCGGCGATTGGATGCTGAAGGCCAAGCTGCCTGCCCACGCGCGCTTCTGGAACGCTGGCACGTTTGCGGACCGCCCTGCAGAGCTGGCCCACTGCGCCGCGCGCGTTCGGCTGAGAGCGCGCAGCTTGTGGCTGATGAGCGGCATGCGCGGCTTGAGTCTTGAGGTCACGGATCTGCGTGTGGAGCCACCGTCTCGCGAGTGTCCGCTGTAGTTTCTTCCGCTGCCGCAGCCGATTTTTGCTCAGTAAAAAAAATCAGAATGGCCACCCACATCCTGGAGCGCCGCGAGCAGCTGAGGCCTCTGCTGAAGGCCGCTGTCGATGCCGATGCGCTGAAGCGGGGAGCCCGCCTGCATGATGAGCTCACTCGGGGTGCGCCCGTGCTGGAGCGGCTGATAGCAGATGAGGCCGACGTGGCAGGCCAGCGACTTTGCAGGAACGAAGTGGAAGAATTTGACGGGGACCACCCGGTGCAGCGACACCTCACCAGCGTGCTCTGGGGGGTGCGCAAGGGCTTCCAGGCCCGGCTGGACGGAAGCCTGGCAGGCGCAGCGCGGGCCAAAGAACAAGTAGTGTTGAGGGACCTGGCCGACGACTTCAACGTGAGCGACCTCGACGTGACGCAGGCCATGGCCCCGGCCGCACGCGCTGGGCAAGTCGGCCGAACGACCGGCTGCAGGCCGACCTCATCAAATTCACGCTTCGCCTTGAGCAGCTTTCAGGAAGATCTTGTGCGCCAAGCCGGCCAGGCGCTGGCCCCTGTACTCCTGCCCCAGCGCCTCGCACCACCTCCGCAGCACCTCGTGCTCCTCCGGCAGCTCTCGGATCCTCGTGCCCCGCCGTGACTGCAGAACAAGAACGCCGAGACGGTCGGCCGGGCCACCAAGCGCGCCGCGCGGGAGCTGACAGGGGACGACGGGAACTTTGTGGTCACGACCGACCTGGGCAACAAGTTCGCCACGCTGGGCCGGGTGCTGCCCGAGGAAGCCAAGTGCTGCCGGTGTCGCGAGCTTGGGCGGCTGCTTAAAAAAAATAAAAACCCTCCTCCTGGGGGAGAGTTTTTTTTGCACTGTTTTGGGCGCCAAAAAGGCTATTACTCTAGGGCCTATAGCAATAGCTTTTTGCACGGTTTTGGGCTACAAAATGCTATTCTTCTAGCCCGTATATCAATATACGGCCTAGAAGAATAGCTCGTTTTGCACTTTTGCGCTGCAAAACGCTATTCTTCTCGT